AATGAGACTGGATCATATTCTGGTTGACAAAGACAGTGGAGGATGACCAGGTACCTCACAGTAGCCGGCTGAAATTCCAGCTTTGCATGACTCGTCCTGAATCAGCATGTGCTGCGCCCGACCGTCGCTTCGTTGATCCGCGTGGACCGACCTGTGAGCCCATGGGCCTCGCTGAGTAAGGCCTCACGCTGCTTCAACAAGAAGCTGGCCGCTGCCTCAGTCGTGAGGATGTGCGGTCTTCAACAAAGGAAGACGTCTACGCGCCATGGGCGCCGGCGCGATGGGCGGCCGGTGTGCAGCAAGTAGACCTGTCAGACTAGATCTTAGGTCTTATGAACAGGTGCGGTGTCACTGTCGTCTTGTTGATCAACTTTGAGTTCTCTTCATGGTGCCCTGTCGTACCCAGGCCGCAAGTTGGCACTGGTAGCTCAAGAATCCACTCCACAAAATATGGCAACAAAACAAATTAGAGGATGTTATGTGTGTCCATCTGCATAACTATGGTGTTTTTTTTGTGGTTCTTGGAGCTTACATATTACACTGCAAAGGATCCTACGCACAAGCCCTCGCGTAGCCGTAGCCTACGGCGTGCAACAGTTTACCTACTTGGGAGTTTTCTCCAAGTGGAGTGCACGCGGGGATGCCTGCCCGAGCAATTGGCAAACAGCAAAGACTTTTTGACGCAACCCTACGCAGGCAACTTATGGAAGTGCCTCCGCCTACAGCCTACGCAAACCTACCCCGACACACCAGTGTCAGGTAAACAGCCCAATAACACAGCACTTAATAAGGACTTCCCTCTTCATCTTCTTTCCATCGTCTCAACAAACATCGCTCCTCATCCGAACGGGCCGCCTTCCTTTTGGACTGGCTTTCCAGTGGATTTGCGCTAACGAATTGGTAGAAACGAGACGATTTGGGCGTGAGACAGATCGGGACGCGGCACATGATTGTAGCTAGCTGTCGATCCATGAATATATGAATAAACACCCCATCACACACTGTGCTTTGTAGAGACCCAGTTCACCTCCAAAGCCACCCCGAAATGCACTGAACCACCCAAGCATTCCAATGCCATCCTCAAAAGGTACACTGAAAGGTCCACAACATTTCGGGTGACCTCCCCAGAAATCAAAAACATCTTTACATCAAAATCAATTTAGATCAATTGAATGAATATAATGTAATATAGCACCACCATACACCTTTAAGATAGATGCTTTGAACGCACTTGAAAAACGATAAGAAACATGAAAGAGCTGTGCATGATTTTCCTTGTGGCTTGCATGATCTTGACGTACACCGCAATCACAACCCCTTGCAACATACAAACTACTGGTCTACTATAAACTATTACAATCTATTACATGTTATTACAATACCAACTACTTGATGTTCTGTCATGTTCTGTCCCTCTGTTTTTGATGTCCAACTATCGCTCAGTGTCTTTCCATTTGCCGCATCAGCCCAATGGCTGGTGGCCGATCACAGCGCATCACTGCCCGTCGTGGCTGGGGGCCCCAAGACGGCGGGGGGTGCTCGTGCAGTCCGCCACCATGGGTGGCAAAGACTGCCATGGACGAAGTCAATTCGCAAAGAGGCCTTGTCGGTGGTCCTGAAATCTGCGAAATCGCGCGGAAAAATGAGGCGCTGGTCGAAATCCGTTGATTTGTACAGGACATATGATAAACCCATTGGATCCATACCCAGTTCGGCGATCACCCCAGCCTTCGACCGACTGCACCGCTTCGGGTGCCGAACTGTTCGGCGCCTACGCTGCACGAACGGACGCGCGACTGCCAGCGCGACTCGGGTTGGGCGGTTGTTTGGTCATCGGGTCCGTGATCCAATAGCCACAATGGCAATGAGTACAGCAGTGGTTTCGGATGTAATCTCGACTTATGGCCTTCTAGGCAAAGCAAAGCCAAACAAGCTCCATGTGGGCTTGTAATTGATACATGAGACCAACCGTGTGCGCTTCTGGTACAGTAGGGGGCCTTTTGGGGGTTGCTTGTGTAAGACTGGCAGAGAAACCTTGGTCGACAGGAACCCACTACATCCTTGATGTGGAGAAGGCGAAACAATGCAAGTTAGATCATATAAGACACTGATTTACAAGGCTTGACATTACAAGGTAGATCAAGGTAGGTAGTGTGCGCCTGGCATCCCTGAAGCATCAAACAAGTCCTTCGGGGTTCTCCCTGTCAATGTTGAACACTCCCTGTTCGATCTTGGACACTGCGGGGCTTTTTGAGGCGTTCTGCACATCCAAATGTCCAAAGTCTTCAGAATCCGTTGGTTCCAAAACCACCAAACGCAATGGTTCCAAAACCAATCTGTCGTCCAAGCGGGGTTGTACCTGGCAGGACCCCATCTGTCGATGGCACAACCCGTCTTGACAGGGTGAAGAAGCACCTTATCATAGCCAAGCCAGGTAGTGCTCTTCTCTGCATCATTATTTGAAGTGACATACACATGCCCTATTGGGCGCTCATAGGGTCCAGGGACATCATCAATTTTGCATGGACAGTATCTGTCTGGCTGGATTGACCTGGAGTCATGGATGCTGGACCCTACAAGTGATGCATGTGTGCATAGTTGGACATGTAACGCAACAAGGATGACTATTGGACTCCTAAAATGTCTCGATGCCGGCTCTCTTCTCGACATCATGTTCGCACATGCACGCATACACCGTTCCTTTCAAAACGTCCGCTGCTGCAAGCGCTTTGGTCACAACATTTAAGCGTTTCTTCTTCGCATTTCAGCCTCCTTAAAAGGCAAAGAGTGTGGTGCAGACGCATCGAGTCCACATCATCATTTACCACGACTGGGGATCCAAGCTTTCAATCTCAGTCTCCTGGACTCTTCTTCGCTCGAAGCTTTGTGACATGAGCTCTGTGGTTTTTCTTCTTCGCCATCAAAGAGATAAAACAATGAAAACAAAAGACAACGACTCTTCTTCACTTCACTTCGCCTCGATCCAACGGGGTGTTCTCACGTGCAGCTGTCGCAGCTGTGCTGTCGCTGGTGCGAACGAATCAGCTGTCGTCGGTGAACCCATCGATGTGAGAGTGGGGCGAGTCGTTGGGTTCCGAACCCAGCTACGTTGAAGTAGCTCCTGGCAGTAGAAGCTATAGGAACAAGAAGCTATAGTAACAATGGCATCGCTACTGCGGTAACACGATCGCCGAAGGGAACGAAGGAACAACACATAAAGAAAAAAAACAACTTTTACGGACGAAACAGGGGAGGTGTCCATCTGGGGAAATTCACACTTCGACTCGCACTGTGAGGCCTATGTTTTTCTAGTGGAACAAAAAGAACTAGGCACACCTTCAATCTGTTTTGCTCTGTTTCACACGATGTTCAAGCCTGGATCCCTCGCGGCATCAACGACGGAGGTGGTTAATATTGCCTGGTCCACAGGAGCACCTCCAGTTGAAGCTGGATCACATGGGGCCTCCCCCTGGCGGACGTCAGGTAGGTCTCCACATTTGGCATGACAGACCTTCTAGACTCCTAGACCCCTCTTTTGGGGAGTGTTGATTCAGTGATCACAGTAGGATGTTCCCTGGTCAAGTGCCTTTCTATCTACCCCCGGCAGCTCTCATGCAGGATCTGGGAATCTGGGAATGTAGATGAATGTCGTGTAAAAAGATTTCTCTCTTTTGCTGCACACAGCCACCAACACTTGGTGAATGTCCTATCTAATGAGTCTCACTGAAAGGGCAAGTTTCTGCCACCCAGGCAAGCCAGCAAGAGCAAAAGCTTTATGAAGTTCCATTATGGGAGTTTGAGAAAAGAGGGAAAGGATTGGAGACATCAAAATTGAGGGGTGCGAAGAAAGGAACATAAGGACACAAATGGACCATGACCATACTAATTTGGGGTGGGTTTCTAGGTACCCCGATAAAAACATAGACGAGATGCGTCTTGGAAGGCGCTTCTTGTAAAGGGGAGAGCCGGAGGAAACTGGTAGGGGTGGGTCGGGTGCACTAATCCTGACAATTGTTTTGCATTTACTGTATTTCTTTTACTGACACCTTTCTTTATTTATATAATTGATTTGTCTAGTCTTTTCATTTCTTTTCTATTCCGTTCTATGTTTCTCCCTACTTTTTGACTTCTTGTTCACATCTTTCATTGTTGTGTTGTTCACAAGCTGGTCCTATTCTTGAGAGGCTTCTCTTTTTAACAAGTACATATTATGTGGTTCTTACTGAGAAGGAGCCAAACCTTTGCAATAATAATATGTCATCATGTACTGCTCTTGAATTTCAGTTAGCTTTTGCTTAAACAGTTAAACAGTGGCCCTTCCCTTCTTGGATAGATTGTTGATTGTAGACGACACATTTGCAAAGCATAGGTTTCTTAGACAAGGACTTCCAAAAATGCGAGCCTTACAAAGGAACAACCCTTCATATACACAGATTGAGATCTTCCTTAATGGAGGACACCGTGCTCATATGTAAATACATATATAGTTATATATTATATATATACATACATGTCATATATTGTTATATTATGGACTCTTTACGTTCTAAGTCTTATCAAGGATGAGTATGCTGAAGAATATATTATATATATACACATGCCTTGTAAAGTAGAGGAGGTTCTGAGTAAGGTGCGATGCATGTTTACAGTCTGAGTTTTATCGAATGTGATAATTTTATTATAGTCTGATAGAGGAGGGTCTTGGAGAAGGTGGGATGAATTTCTATGGTCAGCGTCTTATCAAAGATGAGAATTGTACAAACATGCACAAAAGACAAGAGATAAGTGTTCAACGGTCCTAACTTTTCTGTTCCCTAGGGCTCCAACCACCTCCGTTTCGCTTCGGTGTGTAGGGTAATTAGGTTCTGACTGCAAAGATGTAGCTGAAGCATTATGCCCCAAACACTCCAAACACTCTAGATATATGATATGCCTACATAGACACCGACCCCTCCTCAATAATCTTCAACCACCCCCCAATGTCGGTGCCCCTATGCCAGTCACCAGTCCGAGTGCCGGTGCCCCACAGTAACCTTAGGTGCCCCGGTCGCTGACCGCGTCGGTTCCCCGCGCTTTTCCCCCGAACCTCGCATCATGGCCATGAACTCCTCGAAGTCGATCATGCCGTCGCCATTGCCTCGTTTCAACGACCCTCGATCATGGGAGTATTTCTATTGCCTGTGGGTCATGGAGATCAAGGGGACCTTGCGCAAGACCGAAAATGAACAGAATAGACTGTGACTAGAATAGATCAAGCGACCAGGCTGAAACAGGCTCCAGGTTTTGTTTGACTCACAGCCATCGATGGGTGTGTAATGGTGTGCATCTCAAGAGGAAGACGCCCTGGTCCTGGCTGGGTGCTCCACTTCCTAAACCGAAACCAGGGGTCGGAACGCCTGGGAGGTCTCCCTAGTTTAATACACACGCATGGACTGTGCACTGTGTAAGAGTTGTTTCGTTGGTACATGGGTGAACCTCCTACTGGTGTCGTCTGATGTTGGGCATCAACTCCCAGTTCCAACCCATGAAACATGTCACACAGATTCACACAGTTCTTAGTCTCCAAGTGGTCGTCATCGTTTCCCTCGTTATCAGGACAACCTCTCAATGGCCGGCACTGAGGTCTCTAGTCGAACTTCTCGATAAACCCATCAACAAGACGCGAGCCCCACGTCATGCATCGGACCACGAAACAACCGGAAATCACATGTGCCCTGGGACCACGGTGCCATCAAGCAATCAATGCACAAACATGCCGCAGTGGTCTTACACCATACGGTGCATATTTGCACCGCTGAACATATACTGACTGGTATACCAAACATTGTGATTTACAATTGATCTTCAGGCTTCTTTTAGCAGCCTGATGTGATACACTAAGAGCTTGGCTCATGGCATATTAGAAACTTAAACTCTGCTCAAATGGGATTCATAAATCCAGCACTTTGAAAAAGAAACACTAACTGAAGGTTCAAGTCTACATTCCTGGTTTCTGAAGATATCATGCAAAGAAAAGATCCACACATGAAGGGCAAGAGTTGTTGAGCTCAAAACCACTTGTCACTTGTCTAACAATTGGTAAATGCACCCGCAAAGGCCAGGCCATGATACTCAGTGGTGACAAACCAACCCATATCAAACCTTTATTTAAGACTGCATGATTTTGCCATCTATCCTTCGCAAATGAGTCCTTTTACATTCCTTTTATTTATTCCTTTGTCCTTTGGAACAAGCTTCAAACCTCTGCGGTGAAAGACTCCGGGGTGAGTAATCCAACACGTTGACATTCCAAATTCCAAATTGGAAGTTCAAGAGAGGTTGTGAATAGGTTCTACAAACCCAAATGGGGGGACTCTATAAAGTCAAGTCTCCACACCTAAGACTTTGAAAAGAGGTCCATGGAATGTGGGTGACGGATCTTGACTCTATGAATCCATGTAATTTCACTATTACTCATACATTGTTCGGGCAAAAAGAACATGTAACATGTTTTGTGATGTGTCGGTATAAAATAACACCAGACTCCCAGGACTTATCTCCTTGGTATTGCCCAGTTTCTTTGTCAAAAAAACATGCGGAACCATGGAAGAAACCATCTGTTAAACGTCAAGGTGCTATCAACTTCGACCATCAAGTCCGCGATGGCTTTCCTCAGAGAAAACAAATGAACTTGCTGAACTGCTGGTGCAGTCCAGGAGGAATCTCATTCTGCGATCTTGAACTTCCCCGTATGTGTCAATCAAAACATGAATATGCAATTCAATGTCTCTATTGGACACATCGCAACATCAACTCCAACTCAAACAAACACGTTGTCCCATGTAGACACATATACAAAACAAAATCCATCCTCTTCTATGGAATTGCCTATGCACAGCACGTTCACTTCTCATTGGCAGGCTCCATCTTGCCCCGAGACTTGGTCAAACAAATGGTGACAAACACGGATCGACTCCAAACGAACGGTTCATCCCCTCTCCAAACTCATCCAAAAACCACTTTCCAGTGGATGGCATGGCCATGCATAGCCCCTTGGCCCCCTTGGATAACCATGTTCCGAATACCAAACAGGTGGTGCCGTCCACTCCTGGAAGTGTGTCCATGATTCCTGGTTTTCTTCTCTTTCAGGGAGTGTATCTATGGTGGATCGGGGATGCAACGGTCCCAAGTTCATCCAGGTGTTTGAGCCAATCGTGAACAGCACTGTTGGGGTCTCGCAGGCGGAATGTACTGTACTTATATATTGGGTCCATCCTACTACCAGTAACAGTGGATGATGCTTAGTAAAGGCCTTGTCAAAAATAGTTATAATTTTTTACTGATTGTGGCAGGTACTAGGACGGACCAAAATTATTAATATATGGTTTGGGGACGAACACCTCTAACTATGTTTGCACATCAAGGCAGCCAATGGGCATAAAGCTACCTAGTCTGTGGGTGTTCTTCCTCATCTTTTGGGAGCCGTCTGGCTTCTTGCGTTGGAGAAACACAAGTTCTCAGGCTTCAGGGACAGGCTTCAGTCCAAGTGCATCTTCCACCTCGCTGCTCTGCAGCACCTGGGTCCGATGACGAACGCTGGATGGTCCAAGGAAAGCGGCTGGAACAACCAAAAGAAAGGACGAGAACGCCGCTCGCCGCTGTGGTATCGAACCTTCGGGTGCTGCTGGGTGAATTCACATGATTCACAGGTTACCAAGTAGGACGATGTACCTGGACAGCTTGTGGGAGTAGGTCTTAAGTCTTTAGCCATTCTGTTCCAAAAGGGTGTTTGGGATCAAAACATCCAGCTCAATGGAGCTGGAACTGTAGGTCCATGCAAGCTGCAGGTCTGTGGTTAAAACTGGACCATCCAAATTGGTCTTCACAAGGAGTGAGAACATTGAGAACGCATCGACGCTACAATTGAGAACACTGATGTAGATAATATAACTATAACCATCCCTACTTATAACTTAACCTATCACACTGAAGCCACTTTCAATGGTCCAAGCAAATCAATGTGAAAAATACCCAAAACCCCCACACCCAAGTTTCGGTCACATCATGTCACATCAGTTGACGCATGTCGAACCAGCTATTGGATGCGAGGACCAGTGGTCCAGTGGCTCGACGGTGCACCACACCGAGCGGACAGGCCTTCTCGAGCGGACCGTGTCTCACCTCTTCGTGAGACCGGCCTCCAATACTTGAAAGGCCGCCCAATCTTCACCCCGGGGAGAAAAAAAGGCACATGAAAAACGTGACCCCCAACCCCAGCCGCCCCAGCCTGCTTGAGTTCCTGTGTGGAGATGTGTCCATCTCCATTTCGGTCGAAAACTCCTTAGACCGCTTGATTCGCGGAGTTAGGTCGACTCTCGTTAGACACAGACCGGGTCGACCAAACTCAGAACAGCTCAATGCTTCAGGCAAGCTACAAATAGCAAGGTGCATCGCTGCTAGTAACAAGGAAGATGAAGGAATGGGTGTTGAACACCGATTCTTGCACGAGGGGTGCAATTGAAGCACGCATTGAAGAATATTCTATTTTTACGCAAGGGGCAAAGGAGTAATAAACAAATGTTCATGCATCTCTATGTGTGGAATAAACAATCAGAACACAAACACACAGGCGTTTTTCTGTGGGTCCCGTTCTGAACATCGTTCGACTCCCATAACCCATCTGCAGGGCTCTGAAGGCTGCCCAGCAGACATCTTCTTTCATGTACTGCTGCCTCAAGCGGAGAGACGGAACTGTACCGGGGGGGGAGACCAGGGAGATCAGGGACTGTACCGCTGGAGTCAACATGACTCAAATATCATCAAATATCCTGACTCAAACCTTCAGAATGTAAAACCAAATGAGCGTAGGAAGTCAACATGTCGTGGAGGCGTTTATCTACTTGGGTCAAGTGTATATTAATGTATATTGCCTTGGCTCACAACCGATAATGCAACATCAACACCCGAAACAAATTGACCAATATGTTCTGGCTCAATCCTTGCATCCGCTTCACAAGAACAGTAGTTGAACATTAGGAATGTATCAGCTAAATCCTGATGTTAGTTGCAATATCTGGTTAGGTCCACAAAATAAATGACCCCGAACTTGATGTCATTCCAGATCTTCTCCCTTTGTTTAGAGATCTACGACTGGAATTGTTTTTTCCCCTTGGCCTAAATCACTACGCAAAACTAATACACAGTCCATCCATGTCACTGATGACTCTCCCAAACATGCACCAAATGAAGAGGTCCCATGTGCAGCCCCTTTCACCATGAAGAATCAGCCACCTCGTGTCCGGCCGGAAGAGATTTCCACTCCCAAAGATGGAGCGTGCTTTTTGCAACAGTAGGGTCAGTAGATGAGTAGGATCATCCCTGTGACCTATTGTACAGCCACACATGATTCTATACCTGCATCTATTGCTGTTGTTAAGCAACGTTAATCATCTTTTGCAACACAAAAAACAATCCTATACCAGCACCCGAACACTTGTTTTTCAGTCACCATTTCGATGAAAGGTCGAAACAACACACAAGTCATCCGTTCGGTCGCTGGTGTTGACTCCGACGGCGAACGTCACGCCGTCCGCGTCGCCTGTCGAGCGTGGCGGCCAGGAACTCGGTGTAGTCGATGACGCCGCTGCCGTCGGCGTCCACACCTGGTTCCGCGCTTGCGCTGGTGGATGGCAGGGCGGAGAAGGCAACAAACACCACCCAGAATGAGCATAATATGTTTCGCAGGTGATAAAACATATAGTAATGTAATAGTTTTATAATGTTGTTTTCCTCACGTGAGCAAAAAGACAGAACATTCCAGGTACTTCTCGAGTGAGAAAACAAACCATGAACATTGCTCATTCCAACAAAAACCAACCAGAATGCGTTCAGGAATGGAAGGGTAGAAAAAACACACTCAGGACCTGATCAATTTGGAGAGGGAATGTTCTGAGGAGTCTACAACTGTCTCAACTGGCAGTACTCTCAGCCCCAAATCCCACAAGACCGATTTTTGGCACATCCCCAAAATGCAAAACACATTAGAGCACGTGATGCACTTGGGATTTGAGCACCAAGCATTCACTTACAGTGTATGAAAGGAGTCCATTAATTCTGGGCAGCTTCCAGGTTTTTCTGCCAAAGATCTCTTTGGGAAATCTGCCATTGTTTGCCACTCCAGGACTCCAGGAGAGTCCATGGAAACCATAGTCAAGAAATATCAAGAAATGATTGCCCCACTCCAGGATTTACAGTAGCAGGTTGTGTTGGAATGGAGAACAACCACTTTAGGCGGTTTATTGGCTTATCCAGGGGAGTCTGACTTCAGTAATTGCATGGGATAACAGAGCTAAGCAATGTCAACCAAGCGTTCTTTTGTTTGGATCCATCCATCACAATATAAGAATCGCAGGAACACTGAGGATGTTGGTGAAACATCGTCAAACTCCATGAAACTCGACGAAACGTCGGCGGTGGCACTCTTTTCAACATCGGTGGCAACCGTGCTTGCGGTGAGGTGTGATGTCTCCCTGTGACAACATGAGTCAACATGGTCAAAAACTGTACAAAAGTCCCCAAACACTGCAGGATTGACCTTCAGCTTTCCCTTTTGATCCGGTCAGGTGTCAAGCAGACCCCTCAAAGTGGCAACACAACAGTTCTCCTGTCTTCTCCCCCCAAAGCGGCTGTATGTTTTGTATCTTGTATTGCTCTATGCGAATATGTGACAATATTCGATATGCCAAAAGTCCCGCCAATTGGCACGGTTCATCCAAACGGACTCTAGTTCGCGTCCCCATCCATGATGGTGCTCTCGTGGAGTCACGCGTGGCTTGGACCCGCGCGCCGGTCCGAGCCAGGTCCCGCAGGCCATCCGACGCAAACGGCTGCTGCGCTGACTCTCGGTCAAGGCACCGTCCATGATCGCCGCGAGGTCTGGAGGGATCTCCTTGAGCCCTGCCTTCCCAAGGCCGTCCTTGAGCTCTGAATGCCTGAAAGCGACGAACGAGGCACCGGAACCAGGCACCGTTCGGGTTCCAAGGAGGTTGGGGGTTTGAGTTTGGTTGTATTTGAAGATGGAGGTTGGGTTGCCCCGGAAAATGTCATTGATTTGCTCGAACTTGGAACCAACTTGGAACTCCTGAAAGAATCAACATCTGAGGTTCCCCATGGGAAGCCATGGGCGTTGGACTTCCTGAAGCGGATTGGATTCTGTGCAAGCTATGGTATATAATATTCCCCCTCACTTGAAAGATAATAGTCAGTGTGTTCAATCATTCCAAGTAAAGGTTGAACATTACCTATAAATCGTATAAATATATTATACAGTATACGGTATACTATACATGGATACAGTCAGCTCCCAAGTTGCTCCCTCCCCACCTACTGTATTTCCATGTACTTCCCAAACAAACACCACCTACCACAGGACTCCCATCTTCCCACGAACGAAGCTCCTAATCCCACGGAGAATGTTCTCAGCATTCTGATGTGCTCCTATCTGATATGCTATTCAGCAACAACCCAACAGACAGTAGGTCTTTCATGGTCTTTCCGGTCTTTAATCGCCATGGCCACGCCAAGGGACGTGAGAAGGCCATCGCCATTCTTGTCGAGGCTAGTGAAGGCTTCTCGGAGCTTCTTGATCTCATCCTGGTGCGGCTGATGCTGTGCAAGCGCGGAGGCGATGTGGCAGGCTGACACAGCGAGCCGGTGATATTGTCGCAACCAAGAATCACTAACAACTTAGACCAACGAGTAAGCAACAAAACACTCGACATTATACTATATGGTGATGTTGTTTGAGTTTCACAATCTTGTCATTCTGTCTGTAAAGCACTTTTGGATGTATAGTGACTCTATGACAACAAAAATATATAAATGGCAGTTGTCCAACCAGTTCGATAGCGTGCTCGGAATCTAAAGGCCAGCGTCGATAGCGGTGCTCGGAATCTAAAGGCCAGCGTCGCTGGTGTGATTGGTCTTGCTTTAAACTGGAGGCCATAGACGTGGCATGTGGTATACAGTATACATTAATGATTCGTGATTCCCCTCTTGGTAAATTCCTTCAATGGCAAACATTAAATACAACTTGTATATCAATTTGGTGACCGTGGAATTCAGTCTCAATGCCGACCTGGCATTTTCCACAATGTTTCACATCGAATGTCTCACTACGCACATACAAGCATGTTATCGCTCAGACTTATATGATTGTAATCTATACTGTGTATATATATATTATCTGTTCCTCGTAGTGTCTATCAAGTCAAGTGTTTCTATATATGTTGATGATTTGTTCTGTGTTTTGCCACAGTTGGTGCCTCAAAATCTCGAAATCGGGTTTCAAGTTCAAACGTTGGAATTTAAAACACGCATGGCACGGAAAAGGTCGCATGGCATGGCTTCAAATGATTTGGCTCAGGTCTGTTGAGCCTGTCTCTCCGTTGTCTCCGCTGTTTATTTCTCCTCGTTCAGTTGGCCAGCGATGATGTGGAGAGCTGCCTGCCCAGGACAGGAGGAAGGGATACGTATTTCCAGTGCTTTCCGAACAAGAACAACACGCGAAGTGTCATAAAACAAAAACATACAAAAACAAGAACAGTTGCAATATGTTGCAATCATGTGTACCAAAGGACTCGAGGACCACCGAACATGGTGGTTCCAATCTGACCTTTGGGTTTATACACTTGTAGCTTGCTAGACGTTGTCACGTGCCTTCCTTCCTATGTTCAGTTGACCCACAACCCGTTCGCCAGCATGTGCCTTCTTTAGCTTGTTCTGCGATTGAAAGCCCCGCAGGTTGTCGACAAAGTTCGATCGCAGCGGCCTAAAGTTCGATCGACGAATAGCCGGTGTAGCATTGCGGTGTGCGTTGCCTGAAATTCTTCTAAATTCCGTAGACTTCCAAGTGGATATTGATGTATATTTTGTGTATGTATGTGTATCCTATAATCCTAAAGGGGACAGCAAAACCACATGAAGTCACGCACCAGAAACAAACATTATCAAATTGTCTTCTGTCAATCTCATGTTGGTCTTTTTCCCAGAAGATCTTCTTGGCGTCTACATCTCCAAAAAGGATCTCCATGGCCAATGAGGATACCCATGGCCCACCCATGGCTGTAACCCCCATGGACCGACCCCATCTCACCCAGTCGAGCTTGGCCATTTAGGCCGAGTTTGGAGCCGGACGCAGCTTGAGCTTTGGGAGCTTTGTTCTTGATCCACTCATGGTTCAATGCCTGCCTAAGTGAGATCTCCAGTGGGTGCAACGGTGTAGGGTGTTGGAATAGCTGGATGTGCGAAATAACATCCATACAACACCAGGCATTGAAAGCAACTTCGGAAATCTGACCATCTGTTACAGTCGAAAGCCAGCCCGATTGACAACGGCCTTGAAGGCCAAAAACCGGACACACAAAGCTATCCAGATTATCCAGAACTCTGGGTTCTGACGATCTTTCAGCTTTGCCAGATCGGTATTGTTCTGCAGTCACATGCAGTCACCCAGATTCATCCGAATCGATCTCCTAGATTGGAAGTATCACTTTCTTCGGTATCGAGTGAAATATGTTTTGTGGTCACCGAAATATATATATATATACCAGGGAATCCAAATGTGCATTTTTTCTTGTTCAAACACGTTCGCACAAAAAATCCGTGCATCTGGCCTTTTTTGTCAAATGGACAAATTTTCTGGAATTCCTCCGAAAATTGGGGTTGATTGGGTTTTATATCAATATAATTGTTTGGGTTTTTGTCGAAAAAACATGTTGATAAAGTTTGGGTTTCATATGGGTACGCTTTTGTACGGTATTGTTTTTCTGTCCATACGGCTAAATACGCTAATTCGTTAATTAAAATGTCCATACGATAAATTCTGTCCAAATACGGCCTTCGCACCAAAAAAAGTGTTCATACGCCTTTCCATATTTAATGTGTTTCCTACTAGCTCGAGCTACTAGAGAACAAGACCACAACCACCGATCTTGGAGGTGGTGGACCTGGATCCCCCCAAAACATGTCGACAGGGGTTCTGCAAGTGAACAACCTCACTTTTCTGACTAGGTTGGAGGCTATTGCTATTGGAGGCCATCGCTCTTAGGTTGGAGGCCATCGCTCTTAGGTTGGAGGCCATCCCTACTAGTAATAAGAAGCTACTAGGAACAAACAACTCAGTGAACTCTTTGCTTACAAATCTATGAAGTGTCCAAAGGAACCAATATCTCTGAGTTGTGTTCTTGGACCTGCGCTGGTTCATAAACCTGGACATCGAGAGAGCACCGTGCTTGTTTTCGTTTGCACGGTTATTTCCACGCGCGTGTGCTGCGAAAAGAAAAAGAGATTGTGATTACAAGAAACGGTTTATCATGGCAGTTTCAACAATGCAAGCGTTTCACAACGTGCAGCAAAACCAAACCGAAGACCAAAGGCCTTCCAACTCCGGGAGCTCGATCCTCGAGGATCGCCACTGAGGTCGCCGCGCCGCGCTATAGCGGTCGCGGGGGTTCATCTTCAACATCCATCGGATGAGGCTTTTGGCATCATCCGACCTCAGCCCCGTCGGGGGCGTGAAGCGAACATGTCCAGGAAACGGGTCAAATGGATTCATCCTGAACGGAGAAGAATGGATGAACATATCTGTTTAGTATATGTGAACGCTTCAATTTATTTACCACCACCTATAGATTGTACACACGACCCAGAACAGCGTTGCCGCCTCGCAAATAGACAAGAAGACGACCTATACAGAACAATTGTGCTGAGAGAAGAGTCCAGCTTTTCTGGTCGGAAAAATCGTCACATGCCGTTTCAAGCGCCTTGAATGGAACGCACAAATTTCACGCTGGAGGTTCAGAACGCTTCTTCTTCTCCGCCGAGGCCACTACAGGCCCCTTCCGAGCTCCGAGCACATTTTTCCAATCGGCGGGATTGAAGTTGAAGTTGCCCAGACGCACCTGGAAGTCGGAGATGAGTGTCAGTACCCCACCGGGGAAAGGGCAAAGCTCCCATCATTCTTACACCCATCTTCTGAAGTCTGGATCTTGAGCAGCGGTCTTTGTTCATTGAGGGTTGTGTGACTCGATTGTTTCTGATATCTATCTGCCAATGACCTAAAGTCATATGACACTTGGGTTCCAGCTGCACATGTCACTCATCAATCAAACTTCCTCGAGACTGGGCTGTCTTGGCACCCAAAAAGATTAGACCCTGTCCTCTGGTCGTCAAGGCTGGGGATCTACGAGCAGCTTCCCGGACGTCTCTGGTGTTGAACAGCACTTCATCAATCGACGTCGACGTCCAGCCTTCAACATTCAACAAATTGGCTTGAGGATCCACTATGTCCCAGTGATACTGTTGATGGACAAAATCCTGCACCACTTTGCGCACACTTTTCTTG